TTGTTTGGCGGGCCCTGGCTGGATTTAAACCCGCCAGCTCAGGTGTATGTGGCTGGTGCCTTAGCCCCTTGAGCGACAGGTGCAGACCCAGAATAATTTTTTTTGTTATTTTCTTTTTTGAGACAGAGTCTCACTATGTCACCCTGGGCAGAGTGCTGTGGCGTCACAGCTCACAGCACCCTCAAACTTTTGGGCTTAAGTTTCTCTTGCCTCAGCCTCCCAAGTAACTGGGAGTACAGGTACCTACCACAAACAATACCTGGCTATTTTTTTGTTAGAGAAGAGGTCTTGCTTTTGCTCAGGCTGGTCTCGAACTGTGAGCTCAGGCAATCCACCTACCTTGGCCTGCCAAGTGCTGGGATTACAGGCGTGAACCACCATACCTGGCCTAGAGAATCACTTGAGCCTAAGAGTTTTAGGTTGCTATGAGCTAAGATTCCACAGCACTCTACCAATGGTGGCAAAGTGAGACTTAGTCTCACACACACACACACACACACACACACACAAAAGACTAAACCTGGGCAATACAGTGAGACCCTGTTTTCACAAAAAATTATTTAATGATTGAGGTTGCTGTGTGCTGTGATGGCACAGGACTCGACCAAGGGCACCTGTTGTCCAAGTTACTCAGGAGGCTGAGTGGAGAGGATCACTTGAGCCTAAGGAGTATGAAAGTTAGAGGTTGCAGTGAGCTATGTTCAGGCCATTACACTCCAGTCTAGGCAATGAAACGAGACTCTGCCTCTAAACAAATAAACAAAGTAAAGGAAAAGGAAAGTGACTCAAGTAAACCAGATTTACTTATTTGAGAGCTCATTAGTATGTGAATTGTCAGGTGCTTTGGTTGATGTCCTTTTTGATTTTTATACTGTTTATTAGCATCTGCTCCCGAAAAATCTGGTGGAAAGAGAAAGGAAAATTCTTTTCTTCTGCTACTTTGACTGGAAAACTTTGGAGGAAAAAGATTAAAGCAGATTTTAAAAATTAGTTTCATATAGCTATTATTTTTGGCATTTTGTTATAAGATTGGGTAGTAATTGTATGTTGTATTCTTTTTCCTTTCTCTTCTTGGAATACCCTCTAGGGAAAAAAATTTTGATGAATTTTCTAAGCACCTCAAGGGCCTTGTTAATCTATATAACCTTCCAGGGGACAAGTAAGTATTTTTTTTTTCTTTTGTTTGAAAAACATCAGCATAAATCTATAAGCCATTTTATCCTTAAAAATTTGCCAACTTTTTGCTATATCTCATTCCTGATTTCTGCTCATATTGCAATCTATAATTCAGTTTCCAATTTTGTCTTTTAAAGGCATTTTAAACAGGCAATGTCTGCATTAATGAATTATAATGGTAGAAGACAGAATATAATCCTTGCCATATCAAAAAAATTGATTTCTAGGATGAAAGGAATTAGTTGTTGTGCCATTGGCTTATCATTTCTATTTTTAACCTACCAGGGATTCTATTAAGCTGCTTGGGTTCTTTAAACACGGGTAAAAATAAGCTTTGATAGTGATACAAATTAGATTTCATAGTGATTAAAAATCACTATTAATATATTTTTTAATGTTTTAAAGTTTTTTTTTAGGGCTAGGTTGGTGGCTCAAGCCTGTAATCCCAGCACTGTGGGAGGCAGAGGCAAGAGGGTTCCTTGAGCCCAAGAGTTAGAAACCAGGTTGGGCAACATAGCAAGACCCTGTCTCTATAAAAAAGAAAAAAATTACCTGGGTGTGCTGGCTTGCACTTCTAATCACAGGTATTCCATAGATTGAGGCAGGAGAATTCTTTGAGGCCCCAAGTGCTAGGCTGCTGTGAACTGTGATCATGCCACTGCATTACAGCCTGGACAACAGACCAAGAGTCTGTCTCAGAAAATAGTTACTTTTTAAAAAATACTTAAAAAATAAAGAAATATTTTAGATTAAACAAAATTTTTAGTTGCCTCTCATATAGGGTTGCCCTCTAGACTTTCCATGTCAATGTGTGTGCACATGTAACTGTGTATGTTTCACCTATTTAACTCATCTTCTCCTCATCTACTCTTCAGCAAACTGAAGACTAAAATGTACTTGGCTCTCCAGTCCTTAGAACAGGATCTATCTAAAATGGCAATTATGTACTGGTAAGACTGCTAAAGCATCAATTATATATGACCTTCTAACTTTTTCTCCCAGGGGATTAGGGTCCTATTTTATCTGAAGACTTGCCAAATCCAGACTCCCACCTGATGAATATAGCCTAGTTGTAATTTTTATTTGCTATATTACATACTGTTGTGTACTTGGAAATAATCCTTTTTTCTCTTAGAGACAGATTCTCAACTTTGTCACCCTCAGTAGAGAGCTGTGGCGTCACAGCTCACAGCAACCTCTAGTTCTTGGGCTTAGGCGATTCTCTTGCCTCAGCCTCCTGAGTAGCTGGGACTGCAGGTGGCTGCCACAACACCTGGCTATTTTTTCTTTTTTTGTTACAGTTTTTAGGTGGGGCGGGGTTCAAACTTGCCACCCTTGGTATATTGGGCTAGCGTCCTACTTACTGGGCCACCGGCTCTGCCCTGGAAATTATCTTTTGCTTTGAAGTTGAAATATATGTCCTATACATGTAATTACAAGGCAGAATTGTTAGGATAGTATTGTAAGACTTTTCCGGTGATGCCCATAGCTCGGTGGATAGGGCGCCGGTGAAATGCACTGAGGCTGGTGGGTTTGAACCCAGCCCAGGCCAGCTAAAGCTACAATGACAACTGCAACAACAGCAACAACAACAAATAGCCGGGCACCTGTGGCAGGCATCTGTAGTCCCAGCTACTTGGGAGGCTGAGGCAGGAGAATCGCTTAAGCGTTAAGAGTTTGAGGTTGCTATGAGCTGTGACTCCACAGCACTCTACCCAGTGTGACAGCTTGAGATTCTGTCTCAAAAAAAAAAAAAAGACTTTTCATTGCTGAACTCAGTAGCACACTGTATGGCAAGACCATGTGGGATTAAATGTAATCAAACACAGATTATTTGTCTTCCAGGAAAGCAACTAATGCTGGTCCTTTGGATAAGATTCTTCATGGAAGTGTTGGCTATCTCACACCAAGGAGTGGGGGTATGTGATTCTGTTTTCCTTGCTTAGCAAACTGTCTAATTTTGGTGGAGGGGTCTTTGCTTTTAATTTCACTTTGGTTTTATAAAGATGAAAACAGAATGAGAAAATAACCAGTCATTTGTGTATTTTATGAAGATTTCTAAGCTTTCAATATCTGCCCTCCCCTAGTTTTTTTTTTTCAATTGTGTGAAGTAAAGTGTTGCTCTCAGAATCAATATTTAATCTCCTGTCAGATTTCATAAACTGCCTTGGAGCATGAATCCTCATATATTTGAACTATTTTCTTGAATATAGGTTTATAGAAATGTGAATGTTTTCCTTTATTTTTATTTACCTGAGAAGGATACAGTAATGAGCTTTACTTTTCATAGGTCATTTAATGAACATTAAATACTATGCTTCTCCTTCTGACCTACTGGATGATAAAACTACATCTCCCATCATTTTGCATGAAAATAATGGTAAGACTTCACTTGTAAGGCAACTGAAAGTTTTGTTTAGTGTTCTAGAAATACTTAAAAAATTTGAACACCTAGCTTGCTGTAATTTCTGGTTTGCTACTCCTTAATAAGTTTCCTTTCCTTACCATTTACATCATCTGTACACAACACCTTCCACACACACATGCCAATACACACATACCAATCTACATACATACGTAACAGAGTAAGTATTTTTTATTTTTTTGAGACAGTCTTGTTCTGTCCTTCAGGCTAGAGTGGTCAGCCTAGCTCATAGCAACCTCAGACTCTTGGGCTCAAGCAATTTGACCATAGGCTTCAAGGTAGCTGGGACTATAGGCAAACACCATATTGCCCTGCTAATTTTTTTTTTTTTGGTAGAGACAGAGTCTCACTTTATCGCCCTTGTAGAGTGCCATGGCATCACACAGCTCACAGCAACCTCCAACTCCTGGGCTTAGGTGATTCTCTTGCCTCATCCTCCCAGTTAGCTGGGACTACAAGTGCCCACCACCACAATGTCTGGCTATTTTTTTGTTGCAATTTGGCCCTGGGCCGGGTTGGAACCCACCACTCTCGGTATGTGGGGCTGGTACCCTAACTGCTGAGCTATAGATACCGCCCTGCCTTGCTAATTTTTTCTGTTTTGGGTTTTTTTTTTTTTTTTGGAGACAGAGTCTTAGTATGTCACCCTCAGTAGAGTGCCGTGGTGTCACAGCTCATAGCAGCCTTAAACTCTTGGGCTTAAGCAATTCTCTTGCCTCAGCCTCCCAAGTAGCTGGGACTAGAGGCACCCACTACAATGCCTGGTTTATTTTTTTTGTTATAGTTGTCATTTATTGTCTTAGCTGGCCTGGGCCAGGTTCGAACCTGCCAGTCTCAGTGTATGTGTCTGGCACCCTACCCACTGAGCTACAGGCACCACCCAATTTTTTTCTGTTTTTATTTGAGACAGTCTCACTATGTTGCCCTTGTTAGAGTGCTAGGCATCACAGCTCACAGTAACCTCAAACTCTTGGGCTTGAGCAGTTCTCTTGCCTCAGCCTCCCAAATAGCTGGGACTATGGGTACCTGCCACAATGCCTGGGTATTATTTTTTTGTTGTAGTTGTCAAGCAGGCCTGGACTGGTTTCAAACCTGCCAGCCCCAGTGTAACTAACTGCTGAGCTATGGGCGCCAAGCCTTTTGTTTTTAGTAGAGACAGAGTCTTGCTTTTGCTCAGGCTGGTTTTTGAATTCCTGAGCTCTAGAGCTTCCTGCCTTGGCCTTCCAGAGTGCTAAGAATGATTATAGGCATGAGTCACTGTGCCTAACCAAGAATAAGAACTTTTGAGTAATTAAGTAAATGAGTGAATCAAGAGATATAAACCATATGATCTGATGTAATCAGATTTACTCATTATACTAAAGGCACAAAAGGCTGGGCTGGGTGACACATACCTGTAGTCCCTGCTACTAGGGTGGCTAAAGTCAGGAGGATTGCTTGGACCCAGGAGGTCAGTCCTATAGTGTGCTCTGTTTAACCTTGTGAATAGTCATTGTGCTCCGGCCTTAGCAATATACACATGCAGCACAGGACCCCATCTCTTTAAAAAACAAGTGAAGAACTTAGTTAACTTACTAAAGAACTACAGTAATGGATGTTATTTTACACCAAAAGACAATGAGAAATGGTCAAATAGCTCTTTTAGTCCCTTTGTAACTTTACTCATTGAATCTATTCTGTATTTCTAATCTTACTTAAATGTATTCTGAAGATGGAGAAAATACATAAATACTGGTAATATTGGCCTTCAAATTTTTTTTCTTTGGACTGTCTTGTTTCTTGTGTTTTATTTACTGAGAAAAAGTTATTGTTTGGTTAGAAAGGTAACTGTAGGAATTTATAAGTTACATACAAATTATAGTATTTGACAAATTATGGCTGACAAGTAATGCAGAAATTAACCTTTTTTTTGCTGTTAAATGTTGCAATCTCCTCAATTTGTATTACGTTGAAGAATACCCTTTCCTTTTTATTCCCAGTTCCTCGATCCTTGGGCATGAATGCATCAGTAACAATAGAAGGAACATCTGCTATGTATAAACTCCCTATTGCACCGTTAATTATGGGGTCACATCCAGTTGACAATAAATGGTAAGTTAAACATAATTTTATAATAGCATACTCTGTTTTTCCAACTTCAAACCTCGTATGGAAAAAGTATTTCTTTTTTTTTGAAACAGAGCCTCAAGCTATCCCCCTGGGTAGCTCACAGCAACCTCCAACTTCTGGGCTCAAGTGAGTCTCCTGCCTCAGCCTCCCGAGTAGCTGGGACCA